GATCAAATAATCATATTTGTTGAACCAACAATTGGTTTGTTTGGACTATTCCAAAAGATAAATTTCTTTGAATCTAATAAAATTTATTAAATTCAAAGAAACCGTTCTCTCTGTGCATCGAGTAAAATATTCCTCGGATAAGAGGATTTCGAAACGTTACCCTGAATCTAATAAATGCACGTTCCTAAACTCATTTAAAAAAAAAAGTGTTGCAACCATTCCGTCCATCACTGTACAAAACACGAGCGTATGATAAACGTATAACGCAAATGTAAAAAAGCGAGGTAACAATATCTCGAGATATCGACATTTGAAGAAATCGTTATCCCATCATTTCGAACTAAAGGAGCAAAATTGTCCGAAAACGGGAGAGATTAAATTCATTCACGCAAGCTAGATCACGTCCAGCTCCTGTTTAGGAAAACTGTAGACCGGGCAAACTGGGTAGACGCTGGGACCAAACCAGTTTTTCTCCGACAAATTTCCGCACGGGTAAGCGTAAGATGCGAGTGCGTCGCACACGCTGGCATTGAGTGGGATTAATCTGCTTTAACAATAAGCCCCAAACGCGTGCCTAATTCCACTTACTAGGTACACGGCGATACATCGATTCGAATGGCACTCAGGCGACCGAGGCTTCATCCTAGCGGCTTACGCTAATGTTGGAATCTATAAGGAGCGAAAGGAACGCGTATGGGAACGGATTAGAATCTCGATGTTAATGAGGATACAGCGCGTACACCGACATAATTACATACGTACACACGGCGATAAAGATTAATTGCCCGTGCTAAGTTCTATCGGTTATCAATACGAGAGAACTCGGCGATCGAGAAACGCCCAAGCAATTCAGTGTCACGGTGTACAGCCTACGCGGCCTACAGGGTAAATATTTGATTAACAAGAACGTCAACGTACAACCTGTAGCAGTGCGAGCAATCTAATATCTATCAACTGAGATCTATTAATATTTCTTTGCTAGGCCCTGCATTCATTCAGAGATGTTCGAGAAAAGAATTCAACGATGACCAATATCGACTGAGCTTAGCCACGACAAATCATAAGGGTGTTAAATATTCCTGTAATCAAACTTTTCTTTTAAATTAATGCATCTGGATTTATATACAGATTTATATACGGATTTATATACAGATTTATAAGACCTTTGTGTTAATGGAACAAAAGTTTTGTTCGCAAAATTATTACCATTTTTGCCTGTTAACAATTACGGAGTTATTAATGTTTTAATTTAAAAAAATGTGTTGGAAATGATTTTTTTTTTAAATTAATATTACGACTACAATCATTTCTGTACAAATTATGTTTTACGACAAATAAAAAGAGACATGAAAACTGCGCGAAACAGATACTTCCAAAAAAAAAACAATGAAATTGCATGACAAATATGCCGGTGCAGTACTGTGTAGCAATTTACAATGGCCAAAACGCACTTGTGTCTGTTAAATTATTTGATTTATAAGCAAATAATATTTATTTAACAGCGAGCAATATAAATTCGTATTGATTTTATCAAGGAAGAGAAGCAAAAATATTTTTGATCATTCGCGGAGGAAAATACACATACATCGTCCTTTGTATAGATTTTCAGAATATAATTCTTCAGAATGGAAACGTTTAAAGTTTAACATTGCAATATTTTGTTTAACAACGCGAATTAAAACGTATAAATAATCCTCTATATATAAAATATAATTCGCGCGTTCACCGAATAATGAAATAAATTATGAAAGCTTTCCTGAAAAATTACGGAGATAAATTAAAATTATAAAATTTACAACAAAATAATACCGAAGCTTCTTGCAGATTCCTTTATAAACTTGTTTCATATTTGTTGGTAACTAATTAATTTCTGTTGATCACGGCGAGTCATGCGCTACGCATGATTGCAAAGATTTAGCGAATACAACGAGGAAATTGGTCAGCGCTTTGCGCCGTAATTAAGTGCATTTTACATTATTCATAGCCCTTCGGCAATTTTGTATTCGTGAAGCGTTATTACCGGAAACCGCTGTTGCAAACCTTACTCCACACTACAACGCAAAAGTCCACAAAAGGTTAATGATAAAATTCATTTAGCCTGTGACGACACCACACGCATGAATAACAATAGACGTGTCACTGCATGCGACGTGATTATATAAACGCTCCTATTTACAGAGGAAAAATCGATTATTACATATTACGCTCGCAACAGAGAAAATAACGGTGGAATTAATTTTACTTTTTTGTATTAAGTCTCCGACACGTTTCTCTTTGAAGGTAGCGACTTTTGGACTCTCTGTGATCCCGAGACGATATACTTTGGCCTCGTATAATTTTTTAATTGGGGCAATGAGGTCGAACTAAGGTCTTTGTGTCGAAGAAAATGTACTAAATTTTTCAATTCATAGACCTGAAAAGAATCGCTATTTCCATTTTAGCAGTAAAGAGACCAATGTGTAATCAACAGAGGTACGGTAGATCCTCTTCGGCCTAAGAGGTTTCCAAGGACGGTGGCACATTTTGTTACATTCTCTTTGAGGATTAGAATGTGGCTAAACACAATTTTTTTTACTCGTCTGGCCCTCAAATTGGAGTGTCAAACCGACTCCGAAGTTCAAATGAAGACAGAATAGAATAATTGAGGCCGATCCCGAAATCAAATACTCGACTCAAGATACTACCAGTACAAATCTATACTTTTACAATAATGAAGATAACGCATGGTCCGTGCGGCTAACGAGTGAAGAATCACTCTTTCAGTGACATGTTCATTATAATTAACAACCGCAATGGTGAATCGATCGTTTCAAATACACATGAGAGTGAAATAATTTGTCGACAGACAATTATCTATCATGCAATGAATCGGACACCTGTGTCCCGGTAACATAAAGACAAAGATTCGCTGGCGAAAACCTCGCGAGAATATATTTTTGAAAAATATACTCCAATCGCAATGAAAGAAAATGACGAATTAGCGTCATTTGACAATTAAATGTATTTGCATTTTATGCGGAAAAGTACGAGAAATATTCCTGTCGTCTCGTATACTCCCACTGTATATTTTTATGCATTTAATTTGAAAGTATATGTGTAGATTTCTGTATATAATATTGCATTTATGATGTATATAAATATTTTGCAGAAATACGTAGACAACGACACGGGAGAACAAGTGAGCAAGTTTTTCAGCGTTCAAAAAAATGTTTTAGATTTAAAAATAAATATCTGTAGATATATTTTATTTGCTCCGCAAGGAAATAATTTTGTAACGTATATGGTATTATGGAGTAAAATAAAAAGAATATTAAAAGTCACTGAGAACAAAATGAAAAAACACAAAGGAATATAATATATTCGTTAACAATTTTAAGATACAGGTCAACCGATGATCCCTCTAATGCCGACATAAATATTGAATAGTTTACTTGACTTACAAAGATTTTGTTATTAAAAAAAAGCAAGAAAAAGCAACTCCTAACGGCGTAACGACAAATTATACAAAGTTTTATGTTTGTTTTATACAAAATATTCTCATTTTCTGAAAAGCTAAACCGCTCGTTTATCGAAATATTAATTTATAATTACCTTGCAATGTTATTATTTCATTTTAATATCCGAAATTTAAATTTAAAAGGAAATTTTGTCAAGATTGATCTAAATTTTCGGCGTGATCTCAAATGGATGAAACCTTTCGCAGTAAATTTATATTAACGACCGCGAAAGGAATAACTTTTACAACTTTGATATTTTAATCATCTTAATAATTTAAAAATATTAAAATCATAATGCTATATACTTATGCGCAATAATGAGTCTATTGTCAAGTGCAAATATTTTGAGATAATAAACAGAGAAATACTTTTCATACAATAAAAAATATCGTGTAACCCAAATGACTGTATCTACTAGCAGTTTATATCGATTATCTAGATAAGAATAGTAATAACGGTCTTATTTTTACACGCACACGCGGTATTGATTAATTAATATCTCTCGCTCGTATCTGCTATTCAAAAGCGCTTGTTTGTACTTAAAAAAAATAACTATGTGCACAAACTCACCCTTGAGAAAGATTGGGCTGTTGCGTGAGAGTCTCGGCTAAAATATCCATGTCCTTTTTCTCCCCTGCATCTTCATTGCTAATTGTTTCGAAACTAGCAGAGACTGTAGCTTCTTGCTGCAATATAACGTGAAAAATATGTGAAATAAACTTTACTATACGTGTCACTACACATATGTAAGTAGTGACCACGGACTTCTATATACTACTAGACTGCTGCCTTCGAGCTAAAACGTGAGGCAAGAGTCCCGCGTGTCTTGTTGGGTAAATAAATGTGGTGTGTGTGCATCGGTGTGTGTCACTGGCAGACATACTACTTTATTTACCTAATAACAAGTCTGGTAGCATGTAGAAGTCTGTGGTAGTAACTAAATATCCTTCTCGTTATACAAAAAAGCAAACGATGGTACAATAGTCTCACCGGGCCATATGGATTGTGCTGATTAGTCCTCAACGCTCCGATTTCGGCGTCCAGTATAGACGAAGACTCAAAGTTCTCATGATCCTTGTAATTGAGCGTAACGTTACTGTAAACTCCGTAAGTCTCATTCTTCTCGGGATGGTAAAAAGGATCTTTGGTTTGTGCGCTCTCCGAGGCTACTATCAGAAACAAAAGTCCGCTGCAACAAAGAAAAGGGCGCCTTATTGTCCGGCGTTAAGTAACATCGCGTCAGTGCCGCGTAATGCAGAAGTAAGCAATTATCTCTTACAGGAAAAAAAAAAAGTAATTACAGTTCCTCGCTGACAAACAACTCCGTGAAATTTTTTTACCAGATTTTCTCAGGACACTTACTCGCCCGTTAAGATTTAATTCGGTAACGATAACCGAAATTTGACTCGACATTCGGGAAAGTTGCCGTTTCAATACTCGTTTAAAAGACAGATTGCATCAGACAGCGGCAGGTGAAGTTAAGTGCACACAACGTCAGAATAATTATGATAAACACGAGACGCCCTACATAAGTTACACTCGATCTTGCCCACGTTAATCGCAATCTCTCGCTCAAAAGTACTCCGGGGTAAATGGGTCGCCCTGCTCCAGTTTGCGAGTGAAACTCGGAGCCCGCTCCGCTCAGCGAGCTGGCGAAGGCGCATCCGCGCGAGAGTTCGCTTTCGATCGATTCCGCCACGTTCGAAACGGATCGGCGGCGGCGTGGCGCCTCGCGATGCCTCACCTGGACACCGTCGATACCAGGAGCAGCGCCCAGTACACGCACAGCACGCGGGGCATCATCCTCTCCTTTTACGGGGCGCCGGCGTTGTTGCACGCCGCATTAGGAGCGGCTTTTTATCCCGTCGCCGTTCTCGAACGCGCGGGGAACGAGATATCGCAACCGACGACGAGCGACGTCGACGACGACGACGACGACGACGACGATGACACTACCACCATCACCGCGATTACGTCTTCTACGTCTTCTACCACCACCACCGCCGTCGCCGACCACTACTACTACCGTCACCGCGAAAATCTGACGTGGTGTATTATCGAAAAGCTTCCGGCGCCGAACGGGATCGCGGGTCGTCCATTGGGGCAAGCGGGGGGGGGGGGGTACGAGACAGCGAGGCGCTCGAATGGAGTTTCAACGGCGGGGGGAGGGGAGGGGACGGGAGCCGGCAGAGCGCGACGCGAGTCGTCGCGGATCGTTATCGGCGCGCGCGTGAGTTCTCGCGCGAGAAAAACATTGCGAGACGCGGCACGGGGCGCCCGCGCGCGCCAGAAACGTCGTGACTAGAGGAAACAGCTGATCGCACCTGCGCGTGCGCGCGCTCACGCAGGGCGCGCACGCTCCTGCTCTCCCCTGCACCTTCGGTGCACTCGGCGTTGCGCCCGGTTTTCATGCAGGTTTATGCCGGATTCACATCGCGTCAAGACAAGACAAGACAGATTCGCTCATACTTGACGCCGACTGAACGTATTTTTAAATAACTCCTATATGCAATCGTTTGTATTTCGTATGTAGACGTTTGTAGTGCAATTAAAAAGGTTTGTGAGTCATTCGTTTGTTTGTAATTAATTAATTACTTTTCCACCGTATACTTAGCGCCAATAGATAAATTAGATAAAGTTTTTATATGAAATCGTTGGTATTTCGTATGAAGACGTTTGTAGTGCAATTAAAAAGGTTCGTGAGTGATTCAGATAATTTTAATTAAATATTTATTAAACAGAAGTTAGCCGGATTCAAAATTTAATAAATATTTAATTAAAATTATCTGGATCACTCACGAACCTTTTTAGTTGCACTATAAACGTCTTCATACGAAATACCAACGATTCCATATAAAAACTTTATCTAATTTATCTATTGGCGCTAAGTATACGGTGGAAAAATAATTAATTAATTACAAACAAACGAATGACTCACAAACCTTTCTAATTGCACTACAAACGTCTACATACGAAATACAAACGATTGCATATAGGAGTTATTTAAAAATACGTTCAGTCGGCGTCAAGTATGAGCGAATACAAGACAAACCGTAGTCTGATACGGGCTTTAGATATCGGGTCCAGTGTGAATCCCGCATTACGCCCGCCATTGAAGAAGCGGCGAGGAGCTTTTTCCCCGCGGGTTTCGGAACGCAGCGGACAAACTTGTAAACATGTTAAAGTACGAAACGTACGAAACAGTTGAAACGCATCGTGATTAGTTATAATTGTCCGTTCGTGAATTTCGGGGCATCCGCGCGGCGAATAATTGCAATCGATTGTTGTCGACGACGAAAGTATACGTAAAATGCCTAATAAAGAAGACGATATATAATTTTCCTTTTCTACCGGTACATTTGCGCGGTAAATAATTATCGTTCGTTTGTTATTGTCGTGGCTACGTACGCGCAAGATGTTTAATAGAAACGATTTTGAATATATATATTTCGGTACATTTACGCGCATTTAATTTCGCCGCAAAATTGCAAGTTCCACTAATTACGTGAACCACGTTTGCATCTCCACGTGCAGTTGCCTTGGCTGGGAGTTCGTAAGGCACGACTCGCAAGATTTTGAATGAACGCCAAGGATTTAATCACAACTTTACTTCTCGGCTTTACAACTTGCGCGCGTGAGTATACCTTTTAATCAAGAGTGGAAGGAATTTAAGAGGGTTCGTAGAAAAATTTATGGATCTTTGTTTCTCAACAGGACAAAAGAGAGGACTTGATCTAATGCCGGATTGAGTACGCGTCGCGTTCCGTTTCATCTCACGACGGATACAATACGCGTCGCGTTTCATTTACAATTTGTACGCGACCATGGAAGTGGACGATACGACCCCTCTAGATAGTAGCACGTAAGTATAACCCAGCGAGAAATAATTCGTCGAAACGATGTCGTTTTGACGTCTTTTCGATATCGATCAACGAGTTATTTCTCGCTGGGTAAGCTGGTATAAATATCGTGAACACTGCACGATTGAAATGTAAAGCATAACGTAGTATCTGGATAACACTAACTTTGTGTGTAATTTAATATTGTCGAAACTTATCATTGTAAAGTATTTCGAAATAAAAACTAACGTATCCTTTTAAGGATAATTCTCTATATACTTGTCGCGAGACAATGCTATAGACACGAGTGTGTTTTAACAAGTGTTTGCTGTCGTAGGATAACTGTGGCAGACTCGGTATGGAAATATATCAACAATCCAATAATATCAATATTCTCGGAAGATTTGGAGAATCCTCCGACAGAGCAGATGCTCTGTTCCCTTCTGGAGTCCTTACTGAAGAGATCTACGACCCTAACCACTATACTAGTTCCGCCGTTTAGTAGCGACACAGCTGACAACACTTTACAGCAACAATATGCGGGTATTTGTAAAATGCTACAGCAATAGCGAAGACTGTACTTGGCGATGTGTTATCAATTGTATGTTTTCAGCATTCACAACCTGGCTATTCGGAACTATGTTCTATTTGGTCTGTAAACAATCGAGCAATGTGGTGCTTACAAATAGCATTGAGGTGCAAGCTTGTATGCTGAGAATATTGTCGAGGCATCACACGGTGATGTTTGAGACTATTTCTTCCGAGTATTTGAGCATACTCGATGGTACGTAATAATCGAGTAATCGATCAAAATAGTAGTAAACGTAATGACGTAAAAACATGATTGGATCTATTTTTTTACTGGCAAAACGTGACATTTCTTTCCCCATAGAGATATCAGAATTTTATGGTAGTACAGCGGAAGAAATCACTCTCTCGAAGTTTCACACAGAAAAGGATATTATAGAGAATTTGGACTTGACACCATTTCCTGTAAAAATTCAATCGTCAGACGTGCCATCGATTCAAACGTCTCTATTAAAGGTTTTGTGTTTCACAAATTTTCTAATAAAACGTTTCTAACAAAACTCGTTTATTTCAATAACGATAACATTTGTATTGACAGATAATTACAAAAACTGGAGCTTCAGTTTGGGATGAAGTAAAATTATGGGATAAAATTGTGACTATTCTGGTCAACTCCCCTCCAAATGTAAAGATTGAAGCGTTACAGTTGTTCATCGAAATAATGGAGAACAGTGTTGTTCGTGATAATGTAAGCGATTGAAGTGTTTAGGCAAAGTTTATATTGCAATTTAAGATATTCTATTTTTTATTTCTTTTAGAAATGTACGAGCATAATTATGTATGGTCTAGAAATAGTCAAAAGTCTTCCAACTTGGATCGATGCGGGTCAACTACCTGTACACATGTTATCTCAATTTGCAAACACATTAAAACAATTAATAAAATTATCACACGTTTCTGTTAATATAGCAGATTTATGTTTCCAAGTCATTGACTTTATAGCTTCTGAATTTGTCAGTGAGTATTTTCTTCTAGTTTATTTTACTCTTTACAGATACTCTTAAATACATTGTATAAATTATATCATATCTGTTTTTTCAGCGTACAATGTAAGAATCGAGGAAATGAAAGAATTGGAAGAAGCAGCATGTTACAAGATTAAACAATATTTCATTGCAGAACCACGGGCCTGTACTTCTTCAGAAGCAAAAAAGCTCTTGACTTACTTTGTACATTGTCCAGTATGTAATCATTATAATCGTATATGTATTTTTAATACTACCTTATTTTTTATTTTAGTATTATCTATTTATTTAATAATTTGTATTTATTTTAGACTGTTATCGAGATTTTTGTCCAATTTGTTTTTATCGATATTCGACGAGCTGCTACACCAAATGAAAGTATTCTTGTAACAAAGATCAGCGAGCCATGGAAATTATTAACAAAAGAATTAAAGAACCTCATAGAAGTCGAAAAATTCACAGAAGTATTGCATCTTGTTAAAGCCTCGGCTTTACTACAATTGTGGCTGGAAAAACAACAAATTCAAGTAAAACTATATGAGAACGACTTGAATGTCATTTTAAGGATTCTCATACAAAACTTGAATTCTGATAAATGTCTAGATGGGCGAACTATCTTCCAAATTTTAATAAATTTAATGGCTCATAACGAATCGAACAAAGTTTTACTGCAATCAATATTAGCATTGCCGTTTACGCAAGATTTTAAAGGCTCTATGGACATCAGCCAAAAAATGGTGCAAAGAGCAAAATCTCTGAATGTTGAAGCAATGTCGGAGTGTCTTGAAACGTTATGCATACATGGCAAAGGAAAAGAAAGATTAAAATTGTTACGCACATGTATATTAAATGCTGAAATGCAAATAGCTATTACAGCAGTATCGTAAGTGTTCTTATATTTTGTCATGCGTTTTTAAACGGCATGTTATTAATTGCTTACGACTTATTAATTGTCAACGATTTATTAATTGCAAAATTATACCGGAATGTAGGCACAGTGTACTATTGTTGAATGATACAAACATTAAATTGGAAGATGTTTGCCAATATGTTTTAAACACTGCCTTGTCTTCAACAAAAGTAGAGATACATGAGGCGCTTGCAAACGTCTTAGGCCAAGTAGCCTGTGTCTCGTCAGGAAAGGGAAAGATTGTTTTATTAAGGTATTTTGTTAGTGTGTATATTTATATTTACGAAATTGAATAGCTAATAATGATAACACTTATTTTTAGTGAAACATCAGATAATAGAAAATGGAAAATACATTGCGAATGCTGTACAGAGAACATAAAAAGTGTCAAATCCAACTTGCATTGTCTGCCAAGGGCTTACGATAACATTTTCAATACATATTTCCAACTATTCTCTTCAGCTAACGATTCTATACGTTTGCATATTTCCAAAAGTATTCTTCCTTTTTCAAATCATATAAAATCATTTAGCTCGAATGAAGTAACAAAAAAATGGCTTTCGTACATACACGATGAGAATATTGAGATTCGGTCGAATGTTGCGTCGATAATTGGGCAATTATTAAGTAATAAGATTGCGTTAGAAAGTAACGATAATTGTTTGCCGGATACTGTACCCGATGATTTGGATGAATATGTTGATTTAGTAATTGACGTTATAGCCAATACACTTATGACTGCATTGAATACCTCCAATCATTCCGTACATAATACATTACTTCACACTGCAAAAAATTTCGTATGGTAAGATGAGAAGAATTTTTAATAGTACATATTTAATTTACTAAGATATCAGGTAACTTTTTTATTAACTAATTGAAACAATTTTAGTGTTCCATTACATTTAACAGAAAGAAGGATGCTGGATGTATTTTTAATCACAATAACACATCCAAATTCGTCACACATAGCTGTGGCGTCCGCCACAGCTACATATCGGGATGTCGCTGACTTTCTGAATGTTTCTCCGAAGGCTCTATATGTTCGACATCGAAAGGATATCTTGAAAGTAATTATTTTATAAATTGCTGCATAAAAATGATACGTAATCATACCTTTTTGCGTTATCAATTTATTTTGCAGCTTCTAATGAAACGTGCTGTTAGCAATTATATAAATTTCTCGTATAATATGGCAACTACGGTACATCGCGTTGCCAAATGTATTGGCTATGAAGGATCACGTCAATTGCTGTACAAGGATGGTCATTTTGCAGTCTGCTTTCTACTCGGCATTATCGTTGAAGTGCCAAACGCAATTGCACTTTTAAATGATGTAGCCGAATTGATACGCATGGACGTAAAACAAATGCTTCAAGAATATTTTCCAGTACGTAAAATTATGACTTTAATGACATTTTAACTGTATTGACATAATGTAATTTAAACTGTGGGTTTCTTTTCTTTCTTTTTAGTACATTTGTAGTTATGCGTTCCTACAAACGTCTCTCCGAATAACTACAGAGTGTTTGAAACTTGTTACAAAACTCACGGAAATTAGTCTTCCAGTTCTTACAAAGCAGTCCTTTATGGTAAAGAAATTTAATTCTTATTAAATTTTCTGAACTTTTATAACGTGAAAAATATAATGAAATATATATGCACATATATTAGAAACGCACATTTATAATTTTGCAGGGAATTTTTGAAGAACTTATGTTAAATTTTTATCAATCGCCTGAAAAAATAGTACGCTTGTTAGAAATAATCTCGGAATATGATACCAATCAGAAAGGAAACTTTGATACCCAAGAGCAAATTGTAAGTGTTTAATAAGTAAATAATGATTAATACACCTTGTATTAATGCTGTATGCAGTATAATACATATATATATATACACACAGGTGTCTTATCTGAATCTACGATTACATGGTATATTGGTAAATTTTGATATAAAACTCGGTCCCAAATCAGATGAATATACACAACAATCTGCACTCGCTTCACTGACTGTTTTAATTCGTTACATGGGTGCTACTTACTTAACTCCGCTCAGATATAAAATCTTAGCCACACTACGAACCTCGCTTGGATTTAAAAGACCAGGTTTCCCACGCTTGGTTTGTGATGCGTGGGATGCGTTTATTCACAAGTATGTTGAGGAAATGTTAAACTGACACGTGTGAAGTATTATATTCTGAAGTGATAACTCTAAAAAATTGCTTCCAGTATAGCTATTGAAGACTTAGGATCGCTGTTTCCCACGATATGCGTATCGTTAATACCACTGCAAAATATATTTCCGGAAAAAGTTAACAATATGTTAGAGTTTCTGATTGTTCAGAATAGTGGAGGATATAACAATCACATTTCAGAATTATTTTTTATTGATGACATGAAAGTTCCCACTCATATATCCGATATAGTCAAGGCACATATTTTACAGGCAAGGTAAACCTATACATTTACCGTACATTTAACTTGTATTTCTTGTGTATTTTATAAATCTTGAATCTTAGACCTGAGGGATTTAATGCTAACTTAAAATTATGGTTGAAACGGATTACCCACGAAACTGATGAAGTGCGAATTAGAGCTCTGAAACATTTGCAGTCGTTTTTGGAGAAGCATCGTAGTGAGCTTAACAAGATGATATTAAGCGAAACTGATGTCCACCCGTTAATTGTTGAAGTATGTTTATAATTATTATATATAAATGAATTATGCATATGTGTGGTATTTACTGCATATTATATTTTAAAGCTATTAGATACTCTGTTGATTGGATGTCAAGATAAAGACGAATCTATCCGTTTATGTTATGGAGAATGTCTTGGAGAATTGGGAGCTATTGAACCGAGTCTTCTTCCGCGAAGAATTATTTCTAAAGGTACTAGGTTTTGCATTTGTATCATAATAAATTCTTATCTTTTATATGTCCGTTTAAAGTTCTTTTTACATTACAGAGGATAGCACATTTATATCGGATATGAATGAAGAGTTTGCATGTGCACTACTTTCCGAACATGTGCGAGCTTTTCAAATGCAAAAAAATAGCCAAAGCATGGATTGCTTTTCGCTTGCTATACAGGTATGAAATTTCACGTGCATTGGCGATGAAAAAAAAGGCCAAGTCTATTTAACAATGTGATCATTTTCTAGGAGATATTAAAAGCGTATGATATTTCCCCGCAAGGTCGAAATAATAAATTATGGAATAGTTTACCGTCCACAACACAACAGATTATTACTCCCTTCCTGACATCGCATTACAAAGTAGTGACTGTTAGCGATAATGATGAATTTTCGCATCCTATTTACGGGTAAACTTTATATGAAATTTTAGACTACCATTACCATTGATCGATAACTAATACAAAAATTTATAGTTCTGAAGCAGGTTCTTCAGTTGAAAACTGGGCTTATAACTGGCTTTGCAGTATGTCTAGTACTATACGTGATGCAACGCTCAGTAATGTATTACAGGCATGCAAATTGGCGTTCAAACGGGATATAAAAACATTAATATTTTGTCTTCCGTACATTGTGTGTAAGTTAAAGCATCAATATGTCTATTTTAATAATAAATTTAGTATGCAATAACGTATGTATGTGCGTTGTTGTCATTCAGCATACATAATTGCCAATAATGGAGAAGAGGAACATGTCAAGATTAGAGAAGAGATGTTAGCCGTGATCAATGTTAAACAGAAATCTGTGTTAGATCCTGAACTTCTGCGTCATCGACCACTTAGATATGGACAAAGCGTAAAGACTGATGACAGGAGAATTTCGGAAGAAACTAGGCTTACACGCTGTTCGCGAGTGAGCATCGGTTTTTTTTCCATAATTTTATTTAACATTAAGTCTTTCAATATTATCGTTAAATGTTTTCATATGATTGAAACAGGTGATCTTTTGCATATTGGATCATTTGCAAAGATGGCTCAGAGAACGAAGATTATGTCGAGATTATAGATACAAGGCGATAGAAAGTTTGTAATAAAAATTGTTCACTTTTACTGCGTTAATTTATATGATTTGTATAAATGAGATGTGATATTAATTGTTTCGTTGATATTTCCAGAATTCTGCGTTAGATTAGACAGTCTGGTAGTGGCAGAAGGTTGTTACCAATCACGAGAATATCACCGTGCATTGATGTATTTAGAGCAGCACATGGCGTCTAGTAATAAAGGTTTATCGGAGCTAACAGAAGGTGGTTTACTCGCTGTATGTAACGTTCCATAATTTAACACAGTATATGCGATACATTTCCTCCCGCTCCACAATGTAGACCTATTTATTGCAGAAAATTTATGCGCAACTCGATGAACCTGACGGAGTATCTGGTATTCTGGCGACTCAAAATCAGTCTCCTACCTTGCAACAATTGGTTTTAGCTCATGAAGTCAACGGGCAGCTTCAGGTACTTCTAGACAAATTAGACAATTGTACTTTAAGACCATGATTTTACTTTGTCAAATTTCATCTCGAATACGAATTCGATTAGGACGCAGCTACGTGCTACGAGAAACTCATGCAGACAAAAGACTCGAAGCATACATATCTGCAAGGTATAATTGAATGTTACCTTGGTCTAGATCAGCCTTTCACTGCCAAACACATTACCGAAGGTCTGCTTAGTAACAGGTAATATTATTATAGTACGAATAACTGTATAGTTATTTATAAACGGGAATGTTTTTTGATATGACAGGCCAGAATTAGAACCTCTCATAACCGAACGTGAGCTTTTTTGGAAACTTGCTCACTTTTCCCGATTTGAGGAGTCCTCGCAAAAAAATATAAAACACGTATTGCTAGATGATCTTGTACAGGGCAGAAAACCAGATTTGCTCTCGTTAAAGAAGAACTTGGTATCGTTATTAGAAGACGCTTCTCGACCGGGAGCTTATCAACAGAGTTATTCATACATTATGAAGTAAGTATTAATAATTTAAACATAGAAATCTCTTTAGGTTGCCAGTAATAAATAACAATAAGTAAGCTTTAGTGGACCTTAACTGGCACGTATTTAATAAAAGAAAAATACAATCTAATGTTTCGACCAAGGGTTTAGTGCCTGTTAATTTTTATAATTATGACTTAATAATTCATATTCTCTTTAAATTATTAAAATATATTACATCTCAATTTCAATTTGTTATTTTCAGATTACATATATTGAATGAATTTGATAAAGCAACTTCAATGATGTTGGATAATACAGAAGGCCTCCCAGCAATGCTGGAAGAATGGGAAAAACGTGGGCAATTATTGAGAACATCTCGCGGTGTAGAATTCGTCCTGAGTATGCGCAGAGCCACTTTGGATTTAGCTGTACAATTACAGCAAAAAATTCAAAGTACAGAAAATTTAAGCAAGAAAATGCTTAAGCAAGAAATTGGTAAAATCTGGTTGAAGAGCGCAAAAATTGCTAGAAAGTACGTACGATATACGATTTCTTTCATATTTTTGATCATTTCTGTGTTAAACGAATCGTTCCACTAGGACTGGCTTGCATCAACAAGCGTATATGCATATTTTATCGGCCAGTGATTGCTGCCCGCCACAGCCATTGTACATAGAACAAGCCCAATTGTATTGGCAAAAGGCTTGTCAGGAAGATGCTTTTACTACTTTAAATCGTAGTTTTTCAAATTGTTTTCAACCAGCACAATATTACAAACAATTACCTTCCGGAAACTGCACCGAAGAAAGAAAATACTATGCAAAGGTCTGTAACACCGAAAGATAAAATTTACTGACTGTCAGAAAGTAACACGATTATTTCACTTTACGCTTCTTTCAGGCAAAGCTTCTTTTTGCAAAATACAACGATGAAACTCTTAACGTCGATACAGATGGTTGTATCCTTAACTATAAAGAAGCGATCGAGGTATGGAGAGGCTGGGAAAAAAGTTGGGTATTGTCTGCTCAGTATTATGATACTATTGTTGAGAGAATGTCTGAAGACGACAAAGATAGAAATAAACGGTAGGTTTGTATCTCAATACAACTTAATTTCGCCGTGGTATGTGTGACTGAAGTTGTAATAAAATTTACCATTACCGTGTTTATTCAAGGGATCTGCAAATACACATGATGAATTTTTATGGCAAATCGCTTCAATATGGCTGCAAGTACATTCATCATTCGATGCCTAAGATGTTGACCATCTGGTTGGATAACGCTTCTCGTGCTGCAATCACTTCCAATTTACCAGAAGATATTATTCGACTTCGGCGAGATCGTCTGTTTAAAATGACTCAGATCATGGGTATCTATTTGAATTAAAACAGAAAGAAAAGACTTATGACTAAACAATTTATACTATTAAACAAAGGATACGAATTATTTTTCATATTTCCAGAAGTTTACCATAATAGATTACCAACGTTTATGTGGCTGACGGCATTCAGCCAACTTGTTTCAAGGATTTGTCATCCGTCTCCGCAAGTGCGAAGTACTCTTTGCACGATTTTAGTGAAATTAATTTTAGCATATCCGCAAAATTGCTTATGGATGATGGCATCAGTTTTTAATGTATATTTTATTAATATATATATTCTACATACAGTATTTTGATATGATTGATAGAAATATATAAAAGCTTTCTGTTTATTTTGTAGTCTTCGTATCCGGCGCGACTGAGCCGATGTCAAGAAATCTTAAATCATGCACAGTTAAAAACACCAGGCATGTGTAAACTTGTTAAAGATTTCCAGAGACTTTGGGAAAAACTCATTGAATTATCTAACAAATCGATTCCAGATGTAAGTAATTCAATTGTAACATCAGCAAAACTAATCTTAAATATTACACATGGATGAATACATGTAACGTATCAAGAAAAATAATACATATAATAATAATGATTTTATAATAGGGAACACTAAATACCACTGTGAGTAATTTGTCAAAAACCTTGCCAAGGTTGCTTGCAAAGGAGTTCAGTACAATCATGATGCCAACAACGAAATTCCGACAACTACATCTTCCGTCCAAGAACGCTTCAATGGAGAATCATTGTCCATTTATATTGTACATATTTCATTTATTATTAAAACATTATTCGCTTATAGCAGCGTGATATATTTTGTTATACTTGTAATGTAGGAGATGGGTACATATAGCGAAAATAGAAGAGAACGTTGTAGTAATGCCGTCGCTTCAACGACCGCGACGAATCGCGCTGAGGGGATCAGATGGCAAAGAATACCTCTTCATGTGTAAGCCGAAAGACGATTTACGCAAAGATTTCAGATTAATGGAATTTAATGATATCGTGAATAAATATCTTCAAAATGATCCGGAATCACGACAAAGGAGGCTTTATATACGCACATATGTAAGGCTTGCTAGCAATATATTTTGTTCAGATTTTATTTCAATAAATTATCAACTATTCTATTGGTTTGCAGAGCGTGGCGCCATTAAACGAAGAGTGCGGTTTAATAGAATGGGTACCAAATTTGGTTGGTCTTCGGCCTACTATTACGAATCTATATAAAGAGAAAGGCATTGCACCTGAAAATAGGGAACTTAAACCGATGATATGTGGTAAGCTATGACTACTGAAAACGTTCAGACGTGTAAAAAAGAATTATTTTTTTTATTTTAGTTTATTTCTATCTTTTCATTAGCACTGGGAGATTCGTTAGAAAAGAAGAGGCAAATGTTTCTAGAGAAACTATTACCACGACATCCTCCTGTATTCGGAGATTGGTTTCGCATTATGTTTCCCGATTCATATGGGTGGTATGTGCCAATAAAATGTTTTTTTTGTAATTTGTTTATGTACAGGTATCAATTATCTAATTTTTAAAAAAGGTATGAAGCTCGCACAGCATATATTAGAACTACTGCCGTCATGTCCATGGTGGGATACATACTTGGGCTTGGTGATCGCCATGGGGAAAATATATTGTTCGATTCTAAATGCGGAGATTGCGTACATGTTGATTTCAACTGCTTGTTCAACAGGGTAAATCTCGTGCTAGAGCAATTAGAAATTAAACGAATTTCTGTTTAAAATTAAAAATGCCACATATATTTTATACATACATATATCTAATACACACAAACGCACATATCATGTAATTGTTTCTCATCATGTTAACTGTGTATCCCAATTAATGTACTATAATTCTTAGGGCGAACTTCTAGAGTGGGCTGAACGAGTACCATTTCGCTTGACACATAACATGATAGATGCTATGGGTCCTTTAAAAATTGAAGGACCATTCAGACGCGCCTGCCAAATTACTATGAGAGTACTTCGGCAAGAATCGAGTACATTGTTGAGCGTACTCACACCTTTTGTCTACGATCCACTCGTTAGTTGGAATAAAAATCAACCTGGTAACGCAGCTGAAAAAACAAATGAAAAGGTACAACAAATATTTTTTTGTATTAAATTGTGTAAGAAAAGATGTGAACTCCATGTTTGTTTTTTTACTTTAGGCGGTAGAAAGCATAAAAAATATTGAGCAACGATTGAAAGGTTTAGTACGATATCCTGGAAGAAAGGCAGAAAATATCGCGTTACATCTTAGTGTCGAAGGACAAATTAATCATTTAATTTTGGAAGCGACAAACATAGATAATCTATGCCAAATGTACTTTGGTTGGGGTGCATTTTTGTAACGATACTTATTTGTAACAAGTATTGCTGAAACAGGATAAATACAGGACACAATCTTACATGTATATGTATACATATACACTGAGAAAAATTGTTGATTTACTAAATATGTTCAGTTAGCAGAAATTCTTTAGTTGAAAGATATATGTATATATATATATATATTTATTAAAAATATATTTTTTAATTAAGAGGTATTTGGGTGAATTAACAAATATTTGTTTAACAGCCATTGACCATAATTTAATTAAATCAAGAAATACTTTTTTAATTCAACACTTTTTTCTTCTCAGTGTATATATTAATAATGGACAGTAATACATACGTACTATTGCCGAAGCTTCTACATACAAGTTTCAAGTATTGTGTATTTTTTTATTCTTTTCAATATTATACTTCTGAACTACACACAATTTTATTTGATTATAATTTTAGAGTAGTTTCGTCCGAACCAAAACTGCGGAGCAACATGAAGTACGAAACAGCCGTACTCAACACCTGTAAATATTGTTAGAATTAAGATCTTTATCGTACACATATATTGTAGGAATTTCATAACTTTTATACATCTTATAATGCAAAGAGCAATAGTTTCTTACTCCATTAAAATTCTCCAGATGCATTACATAAAATTTGCCTGCGGTTATTTTACTAGGTTTTTGACTACGCAATATGAGCAAATGTATCTCGGTTTTCAATAAAATTGGCATTTTATACCAAGCAATTGTATACACAGTTTTGTAGATCATGGAACTCTATGAGATAATATGATACATACATGTATACATATGTGTATATGTGCCTGTCGTTTTTTTTAACGAAATATTAAAAATTTATTTTATAATTACCTCATGTATTAAAGCATCACCAGGCATACAAAAGAGCAACAATTGAAAAAGTGCCATGCCTAAATATGAAATATACTTAACCGACTTGGAGATTATACTTGCAGTTATATTTGCAGTTGCAATTTGAAGACCTACTAGACATATTATAAGACTGCTAGCCAATGTTTGCAGAAATAACATTGGGCTAAAAACTGTTTCCATATAATCACAAAACCTAGATGCGAAATCATGCCATTTTACACTACGCTCACACATTACCGTATATGCAAATTACAATAAACATACATATATAATTGGTTAAAGTTATTACCAAAGAATTGTATAATGATGTTTAATAACATTTATCATATGGAATTTAATTTTTTGTATATTTTCTGCAAAGTATGCGTGTTGTACCTAAATAAAAAAAAAGTTAATATGTTTACAGGAAAGTTTATGTGATAATTTATCATAATATGATGATATAGAAAAGGCTTTTCAAGTAAATACTAACGTCAATTTCAGTATTAATATTTTTAATTTTTTCCTGAAGTATTTTGAAATGGCCACATGTGTGAAACAATGCTGTTGCGATTAGAGTATCAGTTCCCAGAATAACGAGGCCACACAAACTTGTTGCTACCATTTGCGAGAGATAAATAATCTATGTGTATGTAAATGGAAATATATATTTTATACATATTATTATTATAACAATTTCGACAAGCCTCTGAAAATAAGACCCTCACCTCGTACATGGGAAAATTATAATAAGATTCTGGATACAAAGCTAAAAATGGAAAGTGCTTTGTACTATTACCGTTAGTACCTTTGATCACAGTAATAAATATTTCAATTACAGGTAGACTAAAGAAGAACATTAAAGAATTACAAATCAAAAATAAATATTTTCTAGTATATAAATGTCCTTTCTTCACGTATCTGCAAGTAAATAACATGATGTGTTATATGTATCCGTAGGCGCACTCGTGACTTTGTAATTTGGAAAACGTTATTTACACTGCATATACATCTGCGTCTTTCTTTGAAAGACATGTTGTCATTATATCCCAATAGTCCGTTAACATGTATTTTATAAAAGGGTCCATTTTTCTTCTATTGATTATCCAAACTAGCGATTTTAATATGGCAAGTAAAATGGTGAGCAATACTGAACTAAAAAAAAAAAACAATAAATAACATGGCTTTGAGTCTTCTACAAAGCGAATGGTTGAATTGTAATATAACAATTATTTAGTCCGCTTTGTCATTAGTGATGAGGAATCGTAGATACATACCTTGTTTCCAGTACAGCAGACAGATCTTGCCAGTTATAATAAATTTGAATTCCTTGAGGTATAACAATGGTAATCATACACATAAAACATATAATATATCTCACGATACTCGTTGGGTAAAGGCCAACAAACTTTAAAACCTTTCTGTTAATAAACACATAATCGTTGATATCCATGTTACTTTCATCGAAAGCATGTACAATCGAACACGAAGTCTCGGAAGAGACGGGCAAGGGCGAACTTTATATTCCAGATCTACACTAATTATTGATAGAAGGCGTATTAGAGAAATTTACGAACAAATATTATAAATTTTTCAATGTTGGAAAACGTATTATCGCGCGCGGTCTTGAGCAGTTGGCATTCTATATATTTTCAATTAGGTGTTCTTCATTGTTTATTTTACAGGCAATTAGCAGACGTTACTGTTTACTACAGTCCCAATTAATAGACCTTACTGTACTAAAGATCTATCTAGAGACACAAAGTACGAAATGCAGACTTTACAACTACCCTCCGTTCATTAATATTTCATACTTAATGACACTAATTTGCTAGGGAGATCCAACATCTGTCATTATTGGAGACACAAAGACAAACTATTTAAGACCAATTCTTCCAGTCGTTCCTTCACTTGTGCAGCTCGGCAAACGATGCTAGTTTTCTCGTTAACCACTAATTAGGCATTTGAAGAGACAGATGGTTTCCTTTGTACTTGCGTACCTTATACTTATTTATTATTTCCATACAAAATACATGTATGTGTCACAAAGGGTAAATTATAGCTTCCGGGTGAACGTATACTCCATTTCGCTTCCAGCGACACTTGCCATAAGTGGGGTCGGACACTCACGACTCCAACGTGATGCGTACAACACTATTGGCAGTGAAACAAGCCCGACGACATTGTGCAAATACGAGGATGTGCGAAATCGAAGAGGCAACAAATTAATTTTTCCATGACACACTTATGGCATGTGAGGTTTTCTTTTTATAAATCTTATTACAATTTACAAAATTTCGTCGTCTATGCACGCAGCACATATCGGTAATAAATAAAGATCAATTTTTCCTATGTTATCTGCTTAATAATATAACTTGGAACAATGCGTAATGTCATTTACAGTCAGAATACTCTTATCCATGTATACTAGCAGATGTTCAATTCAATAACATGACGAGTATGCCATCGTGATACAACATTATAAAAAGACTTTATTTAAAAAAAAAGTGCTTCATAGTCTCACGTGCTTTATGCATCATAATTTGCATTAAATGATACACAATATCGTAAAATGTAGAGCTTCACGTTTTCAAGAATTGTACTCACTCCCTGTGCGATGTTCATACAAACACTGCCACTAATACGACCGAACCAGACGAGGAGTCGCCACGTTTTAAGGACATTTCCTCTCCACTTGACTCTTTCCGCTCTCTTCATATTCCTGACTGGAGATCCACATTTGCTGGAAAGTGCCAATCGAGGCCAGTATCGAACCGCCGATCCACGCCCCAAATCTTCTCTCCGCGCATCCGTTCGCGCTGATCAGTTTAAGACGCATGCTAGAGGGTATTCTCATAGATAAGTCTCTATTTAAACGCTCCGGGAATCCCTACGAGTGCACAATACTCCGTCAGTACAAGAGAAGCGACAATTGCTCGAGTTGATTTTCCATCTATCGAGGCTCTACCTGAATAAACGAGTTGCCGCCAGTCACCACGACACTTCCGTACAACGCCGGCCGTACGTCAACGTCGCACATACCGACACTGGTTGTGACGATATGCCCGACTCCTAACATAGTATTGCCGACCATCCCTCCACGCATTTGTACTATACTGGGATCAAATAACGCCTCTGGTATTCGAAATCTCTCGCTTCCGAAGTCCTTGAAATAATTTTTCCTTCGATTATCTTGTTCCAAGATTCGTATGGCGTCATAGAGACGTTACGCGAAATACATACCTGATGATATCCAGTCGGGAATTCGTACTGAACTGCGGGAATTGTGGAAACGATCTTCTCGTCATACGGCGTTTCCGACACCTGAAGGACCGTGGCCTGGAAATCTTGAATCACTTTCTTCACCATGTAATTGTGCCAAGACTTGGTAACCTCGGGTAAACCTTTCTTCTTGACCCACCGCGGTTTGTCGTGATCTTTAACTACCTCTTTGCTGCCCACCATATAAGGAGGTGATAGGTCAATGTCGTTATCCTGCAATGGTTCGAAATAGATGAGACAAGTGAGCTTGGAAGGCGCTTCGATAAAACTTGCCTGCGTACCTGCAAAAACTGTCTACACTGCATACTTATGTAATCTCCACCAAGGGGCGATTTACCAATGGCTTGTGTCAATACAAATCCATCCTGTACAGGTACCGCGGATGTATGCGTGGCGCCGCTATCGACGACGATACCGGTTGCCCTGCCGTTGGCAAACGCGGCCAAAACTGCGTTCTTCACGAGAAAGTAAGCTGGTACGTTGTACTTCTCGAACATCAGCTCGGTTAACTTCTCCCTCTTGCTGCGCACGTTCCACGGCGACTCGGAAAACAGCACGGGGTGGTACTCGGCGTCGGACTGTATTATTTTCGAATACGTGTAATCCAAGACCTGGCGAAATAAACGTAAGTTTACAGATCTCAATGTGAAGAATCAGACGTGGACACGCGAGTCTTGAATCGCCCGATATTGGTCATTCTGTGAAAAGAGAGAGGAGGACAAGGATGAAGGAGAAAAAGGAAAGTAAACGAAATAGTAACAATAGGTAACATATAGGTACAAGGGCAATAATGTTAAAGAGGAGCTAATTTAGGATAAGATTGAAAATGTATAAATGTAGGTACAAATAAGCCCAAACTAGGAAAGGCAATAACACTGGTCATAGCAAGGAAAGATATGTACAGTGATTGTCAGAAAGGTTGTCTGATGTTCTGCAACAAGTTTTCGGAATATTCCTATGTATCATTGCATTCGTACATATCATTTCTTTGCTCTAATAACGCATCACTGCACACATCCGTGAGCAAAAGCTACCATCTCTCACACGATAAGTAAACAATATCAGTTGATGACTTCCAGTCCTTTTATAACAATTTATGGCGTATCTCACAGTGCTATGAGGGCATTTCACTACTTTTGCGATTTGTTTTAGGTTTCCTTCCTCAAAAAATAATTGCACTTTCAAACGTTTCGCTAAACCCAATTCGCACGTTTTTGACATTTTTGTGGACAAATAATATTATTCTCTAGAGCAAGCCACTACAAGTTGGAGATTATTGTGCACACTAGAGCAAACTAAATACATGCAAAATTCAAGTTTACTACTGTAAACGTTTCGCGACTTGTCCATGCATGTTTATGACGCGACGCTTTGTCTACGTTATTCAGTTTTGCGTGTCGATACGTAACAATAAACCAAATAGTTGGTTAGAGTCGAAAGAAGTTACATTTCTAAGCACTGACGGGGGTTGGCAAATACTAAGGCAGTACATTAACGTAGCGCGAAGTGAAGTAAAAGCGCGAGCGAGCTAAGAACCTTTCGTAAACCAAGTCCACTTGGTCAAAGCTGGAATTAAGTGAATCGATTGATCTCGTACATTCCGTTCGCTCACCTTCTCAAAGTGATCCCAATCTTCGATCATACCGTCCTTCATATAACTCGCGACCTCCATATTCTTCCGTGGAACATGGAGAATCGTGGTATCGATGTAATACTTGGTCCCATTTTGCGTGATATTACTGTCGGGTTTCTTGTCGTCTATGTCCATCGGCTCGACTTTGTTGGCCGTGCCGTTGGCGTCCTCTCCTATACCGACTACAGCCGGGATCTCCGCCTTCGGGGTGTCCTCCTGGGCATAGCCCACTCTCAGGGAGTGATGGCCCAAGTCGAAGACCAACGCTCCTATCTCGTCCCCACCGTACAGCATACCGCCAGACATCTTGGGGAGATTGTCGGGCTCCTTCAAGAGAAATACTCGTAAACATGAGCGTCGTAGGCGCAATATGTTCGTAGTGCCGTCTCGCGCGACGTCATTAACAGCGCGCAAATGTTGCGAGATGCAGCGCAGTGACAATACGCGCTGCAGCTATGCCTTAAACGCATAATCGTGTCCGCGAGCACTCACCTAATCTTTGTTCAATATCTTTACGAAAAGAACTCAGTGAGACGCCAAGGGTACCTGATTTGCTTAACAGCTACATGAACACTCAGTTTTGTGACCTTGCAGCTCATGTACAATCATAACCTCAACCTGGCAAGACGCTTCGGAAACCGCCGTCCGGCGCCGACCATAGATAGATGACATAAATAGCCGGGCACGTGATACGCGTGCCCATGGTGCAAAAAGCAAGAGCATTGCATGTAATGGCGGCAGCACTGGAGGTTAAACCAATCAGAAGGTGATCCACTTTACAGGCGCCAGCTTTAAAATGAAATGCAATTCTAAAAAATAAAAATGCGTGAATTATGTGGTACAATTTTAAATACATATATTAACCACTTTTTAATGTAAATTTTATTACATATGTTTTGTTTTTTCCGACTTTATAAATAGTATTATTTCTTTTAATTTCTAAATTCACGTCATGCTAAAGCCTCGTCTACATAGAAGTCGTAAAGTCGTAGTCGTAAGAATAGTCGACTATGATTGATCAATTTCGTCAGACACATAAGAATTGACCAATCATAGTCGACTATTCTTAGT